AAGTAAGTAAGTAGGTAGGTAAGTAGGTAAGTAGGTAAGTAGGTAAGTAGGTAAGTAGGTAAGTAGGTAAGTAAGTAAGTAAGTAAGTAAGTAAGTAAGAAAGTAAGTAAGTAAGTAATTAAGCAAGCAAGCAAGCAAGCAAGCAAGCAAGCCAGCAAGCATGCAAGGATGTATGTACGTATGTACGTATGAAAGAATGTATATGTATGTATGTATGTACGTACGTGCGTACGTACGTACGTATGTATGTATGTATGTATGTATGTATGTATGTATAGAGGTGTTTACATAAATATATATATATATACATACATGTGTAAGTGTATGTGTATGTGTATGTGTCTGTGTATGTGTATGTATATGTATGTATTTACGCATACATGCATGCATGCAGGTATATAGCTATATCTATGTCTACACGTGTATCTATGTCTATGTCTACAGTCTTAAAGGTTATTGCAATGTGCGGGTATGTGTGTGTATATATATAAATATATACACGCATATGCATACACATGTTCAAGGTGGCATCAAAAAGTGCAAGCCCCACCCTGCCTTTGACTTTCTTGCAAATACTTTGACCCTGTACACAGTGAAAGCTACGAAGAATGCTTGGCTTGCTAGGCCCAGTGCTACTGTAGGTGCTAGGCAAAGCTCAACTGTCCTGCTTGCGACTTGCAGCTCCACGAGATCGCTGCCATCAGGCTTCCAGCTTCCATCCTTGGAGGTTCAGCTCTGCTTAGGTGGTTGCTGCGCGAGCCAGGAAATCGTTGGGCGCTGGCCGTGGGACGCTCCGTTGTGTGGCGCGGTCCGGACCAAAGCCACGCTGGAGCCGTGGCTTCTGCTCGGCGCCCGACTGCGCGGCACGGCACGGCGCTGCACGGCACTAGGGCGGCGTGCACACCAGAGCCTCGCCAAAGGCTTCTTCAAAGGTTTCCACAAAGGCCCGGCGCAGGGCGTCGTCGGGGATGGCGAAGAGGACGCGATCGAAGGCGCCTTGGAAGTTGTCGAGTTGGAGCTGACTTGCAAAGGCCTTGGAGACCGCTTTGGGCGGATTCCCAAAGGCCCCGCAGCCCCAGGCGCCGAGGACGAGGCTGCGGTGGCCGAAGGCCACCGCCGTCCCAAGCACACTTTGCACCTTGGCCTGCGCGCCGAGCGCAAGAACTTCGAAGTTGGGCTTCTCTTCTTTTTTTTATGTATCCCTGTATATATGGCTCTATGACACCCTTTATAATGATGGAAGATTCAAAGACCCGGCGTGCCCTGCGCCCGGTCCCGATGCAAAAAAGGGCCGTTTGGCTCCCAGCCTCCAGGAACTTGGCCTCCTTGGCAGTGGGGGTCTCGTCTGCCAGGCACTGGCGCAAAGCCGAGCAGACGGCGCCGAAGCCGACCACACCCGAAGGGAGCCTGAGCATCGCAAGTGCATAGGAAGGACCCCGGCAGCTAACGCTTTTTGGATGTGTGGATGTGGTATTTTCAACCAGAGAGAGATGCTTTTTGACGAACGTACTAAGAAGTCGAGGCGCAGCCCTTGGACCTGAGGGACGTAGGCCACGCCCAAGGTTGGGATGGGATACTCCAGCTGCTCCTGTGCCAGCCTCAAGGTGGAGAGCCGGCACAGGGCCTCCTCTTGGGTTCCCACGTTGGCCCCCTTGCGGCTCCCGCCCGGATTCGTGTCGCTCGCGAAGACCAAGACGCCTGGGTCCAAGAAGCCTTCCTGGGCCAGTTGCCTCACCGCCTCCAGGGTGTCCAGGGCCACGATCTCCGGCCGGAGCCCAGGCTCCAACTCGCCTCGAGCACGCTCAGGAGTCGGCACCGTGGGCAGCATCACGGCACCCTGGCTTGTGGAAACCGGATAACAGAACGAAGCGCCCTGGGAGAAAGCCAAGAGTCTCCAAAAAGCACTAGAGGCACCCCAGCCCAACCTTGAGGGAGGCATTGAGCATCTTGCCGTTGAGCTTGAAAGTTTGGCCATCGCCCCGGTACTGCTTCGTGCGAACGGCCTTCTGCACAAACTCCATGTACGCCGGGAGCAGGACAACGGCAGGGCAGAGGGATCAACGGCGCTAGGAGTAGTCGTAATGATACTGATGTCAACTATGCGATAAGAGTGCTATAGTATAACGACGATGATCCTCGCCACGGAGGCTCTGATGGTGCCACTACCGCAGATAAACTGCAACAGTAGTGCCCAATGCTGCTACTGCTACTGCTCCTGCTGCTGCTGCTGCTGCTGTTGCTACGACCACTGCTACCACCACCACCACCACCACCAACACCACCACTGCTGCTGCTACCACTAGTTAACTGCAACAATTTTGCTGCCTTCGCTGGGTAGAGCAGGAAATTCTGACGATGCCAAGAGGCCGAGACGGTGCGGCACCGACTCAATTCGACGTGGGTTGGAGGTTCAATTTGGATTTCGGATTGTGGCTGAAGGGCTGTTATTACAGAGGTTAAGGGAGGCATGTAAGCTTTGGTGCTTAGGAGGTGCAGGCTGCGTGTTCTTGGGTCACCTACGGACTTGGGCTTCGGGCTTAGACTAGCCAGTGCAATTGGGATTGAGGATCTGGCGTTCCTAAACCCAAAAACCCCAAATCAAAAGTGGTGCCGCCTGCACAATCCGTTGAGGACGTAGACTCTTCGTCAGGGCCCAGACTCTCCGCAGCTATCACAGCGATCGCATAGAACAGGAGACACGACATACAAATCTAGTCGAGTGAAGACCGCACGGCGACGGCAGACCAGCAGACAGCAGAACCCAAACCTCCTTCCTACTGCACTCCAAGAATATACGACAGCAGACCATCGTGTACCCATCGTACACCGGTCATCATCTACGATCACATACTGGATTATACTACTACAATATACTATAAGACGATAATAGGACTATAATGTTATAAGATACTATCGCTCGCATCAGTGTCGGAGGATCAGCGTTCCCTCGAACCTGCACCTTTAGCGTCGACGGAGCCTGAACCCGAATGTAAAAACCGCTGTTCCAAACCTGGATGCTAACAGGAGCCTTATGCGTCCGTAACTTTCTCAACTCTTTTTGCATAAGCCCCACACGCCTGGCCAAAGCCCTTATTGCACTCCAAAACCCTGCTCGACTTCTTGATGCCTTGCTACATTACAGAGATGCAGAAGTCAACAAAAATCAGCTTGATACGCAGCTCTATCTCCTTTTCATCCAAATGGAACTAATTACACCATAACTTCAATTCAACTGGTCGGCTTAGGAAAACAAGGGACCTTACAAGATCCTTACTTTCAGGACCCCCCCCCCATTAACTAAAGTGCAGGGACCTCCCATATCTCGTCGCACGAGAGCAGCCGTGTGACTGAAAGTGCGGGAACTGCCAGCGCCCTCGAGAAGGGAAAGCAGTCGGGGCCTTTTTGGAAAGGAGCCTTGTGACTTCTCGGGATGTTGGATGATTTTGGGATTTGGGGGGCCATGAGGGTGATTGGTTGGACGCTTGCTCCGGGCTTGGGATCTAAGCCCTAAAGCCTCATCTCTGGTCGCTCAGGGCGGTGCCAGAGGGGCTCCATTCCTTCCTCGGCCATGTCGGCTTCCTGGCGACGGTTGGCCAGATTTGAGGTTACCGCCTCCACCCCGAAACCCCGCACACGGAAGTCAAGCATGCGAGCCAAAGACAGCACAGACGCACACAACTCTAACAGCAACGGAAAGCCCTGGCGGAGCGTTTGGGGTCTTGCAGTCTGGTGAGTCTAATGTAGACAGTGTGGAGCTCGAGGCTTCGGCTGTTCAAAGTTCCGGATTAGGTCATCCACACTACCCACAGTCACTGATCCGTAGCAAAGCATCCGGCGATTCTTTTCAAACCTTGCTCTGAAGGCTTTGGAGGAGACTCAAATCGGGCCCTGTTTTCCCCAAATTTCGACTTCTCTCCACAGTTCTCTGGTTGCCAGCAAATTACAGTAAGCGGGACCGGAATGAAGAGAGTCCTTCGTGTTGAGAGCAAGACCGACAGAAGATCGCGGTTCCTACCTGGTTGCCTGCCATTCGTAGGTAATTAGTCGGCTGCGAAAGCTGCCTTGCAGGCACGTCTTTGAGCTGACCCTGCACAGTTCTGCTGTCCCCACGCCAGGTCACAACGGATCCATCGCCAAGAAGGGCAGGCTAGCGGCCATGGTCGGTATCACTGTGGTCAAATTCACCCCCGGTCACATCGATCGCCAAGAAGGGCAGCCCAAAAGCTCCGCAACAGGCTTGGATCCGCAGCCTGCACTGCACCGCTGTCACCACCAGACCCAGGAGCCCAGGTCTCAACGGTTCCAGCGCAAACACTGGCAGCAATTGCGCATGGGCTCTGTTGATGCGCAAGGTCAGCGGAGCCTCCTCCTGAACCCCGGCAAGCATTGATCGTCTAACAGCCGCCCGCTCATGACTCCGAGGCGATCTGCGCCCGTTGCACTCCGGATATACGTATGCTACAAGCAACCTCCTAAAGAGGATGCAAGGGAAACCCATCGCCAGATGTCTGATGTCTGCAGAGACTTGAATAGACAGCAAGGCAGACGAGAGGATAAATGTATCGACGACCGAAGGAATCTCAATTACCAAACTCTCTACAAACCCTGGAGGCCACAGAAATTTAGTAACTTTAGTACAGACCATAAACACCCCCCCACCCCCGACAGCAAAAAGCCGAAGACTCAACTACAACCCCCGAGCCGAATCATCGAAAGCCACTGGTACCCCAAAGCGCCCACTAACGCCCTAGGACAAAGAGACCCTCAAATATCGAAAGCTCCCACTAAAGTCAGAAACCTTCAGACAACCCCCTCAACTCCTTCAAAGAAACGCCTGAACCCTGCACCCTTCAACCTGCCGAACCCCTACACCCCCAAACTCCCAAACCCCAAGCCCCAAGCCCCAAGCCCTAAACCCCTAAACCCCTAAACCCCTAAACCCCAACCCCTAACTCCCGAACCCCACCCCCCCCCCCCCCTAGAGGGCCCTAAGCCCCCGCCTCTTGCTCCTCTGCCTCGGCCTCTTCCTGGTCCGTCATCTCGCCCGGGTTCGCCTCCCTGTCCGCCTCCCGGGTTTCGGGTTTAGGGGTTTAGGGGTTTAGGGGTTTGGGGGTTTAGGGGTTTAGGGGTTTGGGGGTTTAGGGGTTTAGGGGTTTAGGGTCGGAATGGTCGGCTGAAGAAGGTCAGGGTGACGGTCTTGAGGTTGGAACTGTTCAAGGTCCGGGGTCGTTGCGGCTGAGGCTTTAAAGCTTACATTTCTCAATCCGCCACACGATCACCAGCTGGTCCCAATTGCCGCACCAGCCAGCAGCAGCAACAGCAACAACAACCACGACCCTTGCCAACACCAGGCACAATCTCACACCCTGCACGCGCCGGCTCCCAAAACCCAGAGCAAGAAAGGGAGGGTTACAGCCCGCCACGAGGGCCAACAAGGGAACACCCCGCGCTCGCCGATGTCCAACAGCCTTCCGAGAGCAGGCTTTTAAGGGCCCTCCCCCCGCAGGGCCCGGTGGCGTGGTATAGTGTGCTGCAGTGGCATGGTGTTGCGGTGGCGTGGTGTGGCATGGTGCGGCGGTGTTGCGATGTTGCAGGGCGGAGCGGTGTGGGCGGAGGTGGGCGTGGGGCAGTGGTGGTGGTTGGTGGCGGATGGGGGGTGGGACAGCCCAAAGACAAGTAGGAACCCCACAATCATGTGTGGGGAATAAAAAACAACACACGCCCTCCCCCCCTCACTCCTGGGATTTGCTTGGCCAGGTACTTTGACGATTGGCTCTTGGACTCGAAGCCGCGCTTCTTCCAAATGGGAGCAGAATCAATCGTCGGCTGCAGGACCAAGCTCCCCCCGTCGGGGCGACGACCTACCCTCGCCTGCCTGTCAGCTTGCACCAAGTTTGCGTGTTTGGTTGCTTGCTTGCCTGCTTGTTTGTTTGCTTGTTTGTTTGTTTGCTTGCTTGTTTGTTTGCTTGTGTGTGTGTCTGTTGTTTGATTGACTGTGTTGCTTTGTGCGCTTACGTCTTTCGTTGTGTTTTTCTTTGTGTGTTTGCTCGTTTAGGTGTTTGCTTGTATGCTTACTTGCTTGTTTGCTTGGTTGTTTGTGTGTCTGCTTGCTTTTTGTTTGTGGTTTG